CCTGAACATTTTTCTTCTAGAAAAGGCTACATTCTATCAATGTCTCATTGCTTGTAGCCAATAACATATTCTCTAGTTATATAAATCAAGTATAATAATTATAAAAACAAGACAAAATGTTGAATCAGTAACTTGCAAATGTATAACTTTAAAAAAATCCAGTTCTCATTCTCAAACATCGCATTGTCAGGACAATTATTTTAGTGGGGAGCGATTGATGAGTGCTAGGGCCTTGGCTCTCAGACTTTGGTGCAAATGCTAATTCCCTGGCTTTAACTCACTCTGTCCCACTGTACCACCACCAAGATGCCTGGATAGAGTTTTGCTGACTCAGTAAATTGGAGGACCAAGGCCTGGTTCTCTGCTCTCTGAAGGAGCTCTCCGTGTGCTTCTGAGACAGGAGCTCCTGAGACCCTCCCCTGGGAAGGCTGGAGAGTATGAGATTTATAACAATAAAATTTTACTTTAGGGATTTCAACAATAAGGCCTTCTTGATAGTTCTGAGAGTTAATAACTAACGATCATTATTCAGATGCAGCCTTGTGGACATCACGCTCTGCTCCACAATGCTGGCTGTTCTTCCCTTTCTTCTCCCAGGCTTTCCTGAACGCAGCTCTTCCTACCTGACCTCCCAGGTTTTAGTCACATCTATCACCCTCTGCTATGAATCCTGAAGGAACACGAGCTCTGCAGCTGTGTTGCTTAAACAGCATGTTTTTTCTTTACACTGTTATCACGCTAAAAAATAGCAGCCAGTAGAAGATAAATCAAGTTCTTAATTACTTAGGTGCTTTACGTACAATCCATATATTAGAAGTCTCTTCAGGGAGACACACTGGTAGGACCCCAACTGCCTTTCAGTGTTTAAGTTTCATAGATTTTTCTGCCTATTGCAGCTGTCTTTCCTGACTCATGTCCCTTTGTCTGCTTTACTGCAACAACTAACTCTCTTTGCATTTGGGTAAAGTACAGTTTTCAAAAATAAAATAAAATAAAATAAAATAAAATCACGACTCTTATACAGATATAAAAATAAAAACTAAAAAACATATTTTAAAGATTTTGTCTAACACATTATTAATGAGGAAACTGGTAAGTTGTTACAGCCAGTTCATAGGAGAATCCAAGGAACAGACATATCTGTTCATCAGTACTATTGAAATTAATGTGCAAATGGAGGTGGGACTGGCTTCTTCCGTAGTGGGTGGTGGGGGAGGGGAGTCCATCGAACTTCTGCCAGGTGGCATTTGCTGGTGCATGGACAATAGTTTCTTGAGAGGAAACAATGCCTTGCTTGCTAAGCAAATAAGTAAGTGAGGCAAATAGATAAATAAGTAGATCTGGAAGCCTGTGTTAAAGGGTAATTTCATATAAATGTGTCTTGGAAGTTAGAGATAGTGACTTTCTCTAGAGAGATTAGAAGGTTCATCGTCCCCAGATGCATTTGCCTACATTCTTTTTTTTTTTTTTTTAAGATTTTATTTATTTATTTGACAGAGAGATAGACAGAAGAGCACAAGCGGAGGGAGAGGGAGAAGAAGGCTCTGCACTGAGCAGGGAGCCCGATGCGGGACTCGATCCCAGGACCCTGGGATTGTGACCTGAGCCGAAGGCAGATGCTCAACCATCTAAGCCACCCAGGCGCCCCCATTTGCCTACATTCTAAAAGTGACCAAAAAAACCCTGCAGACTGGTGCCTCTCCTCAGAGATCTCTTGCATTCCAGAGCCAGAATTCCTCTCTCCCTCTGTGAAGGGGAGGAGAAGATGCGCCAGCCATCCCCTCTAACCTCCAAGTCTCATATTTGGGGGTTTCCTCTCTCTCTCTCTTTTTTTTTTTTTAAAGATTTTATTTATTTATTTGAGAGAGAGAGCACGCGCATAAGCAGGGGGAGGGGCAGAAGGAGAGGGAGAAGCCGACTTCCTGCTGAGCAGGGAACCCAACACAGGCGACTCAATCCTAGGATCCTGAGGTCATGACCTGAGCTGAAGGCAGACGCCCAATGGACTGAGCCACCCAGGTGCCCTGAGGGTTCCTCTCTTGTGGAACAATTCCAGCATGTACAGGTGTATCTGGCAGTCCTCTATTGGCCTCTGGGAAAGTGGGCAGTAGAGAACAGATGCTGCTAGGATTTTCTGTGAGCAAATAGTCCCTGATCCATTGATTCCCGTGTCTGTTAGTGAAGCTCTCGATCATCCATCTGTCTACAGCTAAATCTATCTGGATAGATACAGATAAATCGATTTAATTCGGATAGGAGGCAAGATAACTGGTTAACTTGCAAGTAGGAAAACATCGCATACCCTTCATAGTTTCAGACTTACTAATTTGCAGAACTATCATTTACAATATACAGAGTTCTAAAACAGTTACAAGACACCAAAAGTCTCACAGCCCCATAGGGGATCAGGGGATCAGTACTCTAGTCTGGACGGCATATTGTTTTTATTCACTTATTCCCTAATTCTTTTTTTTTTTTAATTTTTTTGATGTAGTGTTCCATGACTCATTATTTGCATATAACACCCCATGCTCCATTCAATATGTGCCCTCTGTAATACCCATCATTTCTTTAATGTCTTCTGCATGTTGTGCCAAGACCCTGTGCTTTGTGCTACAGATACTGTGGGTAGCAAATCAGAAACTATCACTCTTCTCGTACAGCCTACAGATGAGTGGAGAAGACCCATAGAATAAGTCACAAAATACTGAATTACAAATGGTGAGAAAGGCAGTGTCCTTTACAGTTGTAATTTCTAAACATCAGGTAATGCGGTCATGTTTGAAAAAGCAGTAAAGAGGCCCTGGGTTAGTAATCTTGAGGGATACCCCTGTTAGCAAAGCACATCAGATTTGGAGCATGGCTGCTGGTCACCCATTTCCGGCGTTCATAACCTGTTGTGATGATTCCATTGTCTCTGCTTTGCCCTGGAAATCTAGATTATCTAAGAAATGCAGCATCTGTTTAACTTCATATTTTGTAGCACTTTTTATTAGAAAATGAAATCACTTACAGAAACTACCATGATACTGAAATTTTAGAATGTCAAAAGTAGAAACATTTCTGTGCGCTGTCCTTTAAGGATTGTCCAGCGCCCTGGCCTTGGATGAAATTTACAACACCTTAAAAGACCTTTGGAATCATGTGTTTAATTGTGACCCCGTGGATGCTGAATGGCAGGGAAGGCCCTCTCCGTGTGACCCAAAGGCAAAGAGACAAAGGCCTCATGCAGGTATATTGTCCTGCTCCTTTGGCAGCTGTTCAGCCAGTTGAGCTTCTTCATGCAGGCCATTGATTTACCGCAAGGAAAGAAGAATGTTCTGTCGAACAAAAAAGCGGAGTCCAGTGGAGGTTAGGCTAACAGATTTGCCTGGTTAATAATCCTAAACTTCCAATAGCCAGGGTTGAGTTGGCTAAAATCAGAGAATTTCAGACCTACCCTATTGTCTCCTTTATATGCTGCCACTTTATTTTCCAAAATTTGGAAATGGAGGCTCAGGTTTTACCTGACTTTTCTTAAGCTCACATTCCACTCCAGATCTCCAATTCAGATATCCTGATGGTCTCTATACCATATCACTGTCTGGCCATCCACAATTAATGCCAATAGCTTATATATCATGTCCTCTTGAAGGAAATTAATTTACCGATAAAGCTCTACCATGAGCCAAAATGCAAGGCAGCAATAAAAGTAACAGCTATTGTTTCCAAGAAAAATAACGATGGGGCATGGAAGGCAATAAGACTGTCAAAGTTGTCTCCTGTCTTATTTAGCAGACCTCTCTATTCAAAATTCTGGTGACCTGGAGAGGGGTGCGAGTGAAATTTCTTATCTTGTTCCAGTTGCCGATCCGTGTGAATGTATTAGCTACAGAGAGGGGAGGAAATTCTACCTATTGTTTTCCTCCAATTTGGAATAGTCCTCTGTAATACAGAAGAGTTATGTGACTTAACAGCATATATATAGCATGGTTTTGACAACTTCCAATCTGTTTCTTACCTATTAAATCAGAGGCCTTTTGATTAATCTGTTCATGTGCTTGCATCTCTCACAGTAAATATAATGTGAAGTCAATTTCTGGGGAAGTTGAAGGCTAGATATAAAGTGCCTATCTTCTGTTACAAACATTGTAGGATTTTTATTTCATTTAAAAATTTTGGTAGTCATCATGATGGTAATGTTTACAGACATTCAGGTGTCAATGGCAATTACTCTAGTAAATACTCAGACGTACTTTATGTTTTGTGTTAGTTGAGTTGCTGCTACTCTGTCAGATGTGTTCAGCTCAAGGGAGTAACTTCCTATGGCCCTGCATTAACGATGCACATCACGCAATACCAAAATGAATATTTAAAATTCGATTTAAAAAGAAATTGATGTGCACTCATAATTAAATGTTGTCTGAAGAGAGATATATATAGGCCATAAAAATTTGACTTTCCTTTTGCTGGTAACAGGAATGATTTTTAAGAGTAGAAAAGTCATTGCTTACATTATATAATCTAAAATATTTTAGAAACTCAAAGATACACCTTTTTTTTTTCCACATTGTAACATCCCTGAATTCGGGGTGTATCAGTAATCAACAATGCTTTATAATTATAATAGGCATCTGTTTTTTTTTCTTTTCTAAAATAAAATCACGACGCATCTTTAAAAAGTAGAATATTGGATTCGATGAAATGAGATGTGTCACAAATTTTAATAATTTGTTTCCTTAATATTTTTCACCGTAAACATTTTCTGGTTAAATTATCTACAAAAGTAAAATAAAGTCACTGCAAATGCATGGCAGTCGTATAAACTTCAGGGAAAAGAATCACTTTGCTATAATTTAAAAATTTTAAGAATCCATTTGTATTAATTCTACCTCTCAGAGAGGTTTGATGACTAGAAAAATTTGACTCAGATAAAAGGTGATTTTGATTTTCTTTATTTATTTTAACTTTTGCAGACTAGTGATGGTCTCCTCTCTTTCTTCCCCATTTCTGCATACAAGAAACTGCATGGACCGTCATACAGCACAATGGCTCTGACCTAACAAGAGTCAGAAACACTAACCCAGAGAACCCATATGCTGGGTTTTTCGAATATGTGGCCAGCATGGAGCAGCTCCAGGCCACAATTAACCTTGCGGAGCACTGTGAACAGGAGCTTACCTACTACTGCAAGAAGTCACGACTTGTCAATAAACAAGGTAAGGAAACTGAGGCATGTGTCCTGCTGTGCACCTTGCACCGTGCACTTGACCTCACCAGCTCCTGTGGATATTAATGATGCCAGGGTGGTGGCATATAGCCCCTTGAGAGTGTCTGCCCCCTGTACACTTAGCAAACATGTCACAGTCTGGAAACCACAGCAATGCTTCTGCCTGAAGAAAAGAACAAGATCAATTTACGCTGGGCTTTGTTCAAAGCCTTGATTGCCTTCAGAGTCTCTTTGTGGCCTTCATCAGATAACTCTACAGAAAAGGGCTTCATTGGGCTCCTCGATGGATGCTCAGTGTTTGTCCCTTATAAAGGGCAAGTGACATTTATGGTTTGTTCTGTCATGCAAAAGAGCTAACGAAAATATGATTGACTTTTCTGAAAGTGACTGTTCTGTGGGACTCTTCATGGATTGTTGGCACTTAGCTGCTGGGTAAAACTGTAAATTAGAATAGATTGCCGGAAACAGTTTATTCAGCAATTTAAGTAGAAATCAGAAAACCTCTTTTAACTCTTTCTTTTATTCTACTTTTAATAACTCCTCAATTCTGTTTTTGGTTTGTTTTCCCTTTAGAACATCTCATTATGTGCCAATATCTTGGGTCCCCCCGGTTTTGCCTTAGTGTGGACCTTACTGACGCTCTTGAATTACTGCAGGAACTTTCCAGCCGGCCTCCTGTAGGCATCTCTCCATACCTTCTCACCACGCAATACGCACTCTACGACGGGAATTAACCTCTAAGAAACTCTGCTTCCATCATGACACTTTTCTACTTACAGAGCCTGGGACCTTCCTCTTCTCTGTCTGTCCCAAACAGACTCTTCTCTCTGGATATCATAAGTGCATATTCTGGACCCACACCCTGCTTAGGCCAGTTTGATGCCACTCCCCAACACACTGTTTTCTGGCAGCGATATCGAGGTGTATTTTTCTTTAGAAATTAGAGATGATTCTAAGACATCTGCATGATAAAGCCACTTGGTGAATGTTTACCCCTGCTTGTTATCTTAAGAGAGGTCCGGATAGCATGACAAGAATTTTAAGAGACGTGCATTTCATATGTGAATGTCATATGTCATGTAGATCAAGCAGAAAGATTTTGAACTCTTGGGATGACAATTGAACCCGTCGTTTCTAGTTAAGCACCTTTTCTACTTACTCTCCACCCACAGAATATAATTGGATTATTCTCTCCCTTTTGCCTGGCTTCATACCCTCTCCTCCTTCTTTGCCTCCATCTTCTTCTATTTCATAAGGTCCTCTTCTGGCCTTTTACCCTTCCCATCTTGCTGGTCTCCCCTCAAATCTTTTCCCCTTGAAAGCTCAATCCCACTTATGAATGACCATCAGATAGTTGTAGTGCAAAGAGCATAAGATTTAAAGGCAGGGAGAGATGTAAGTTCAAATTCCAGGGCTCTTATTGATTAAGTAGAGAGCTTGGATAGATGAGTCTTTATCAGCTTTGCTTTCTCTTCTATGACACAGGGCCAGTAATGGGGTGTGGCGGTGATTGGGTGGCATGACACAACACATACACAGTGCCTGAAGTGACCTTCTCTTCCCAGCTCTCTGGTGCATCACGGTTATAGTTAACATAGCAGTTTAGTAGGCGAGCGATTGTTCAGTTCATTGTTGCTAAATATTGATCTTGGAATCTAAAAACATAGATAAACAAATATGGAATTGTATTCTAAGAATGAGAACCTTAATTATAGAAGGATAAATGAATGGGATGCAACAAAATGAATTGCTTAATTAGAAAAGAAAGATAAAAGGGAAGACAAACATCAAAGTCACAAATGAGCCAAACTCTAAAAGAACCAGAAAACAAAATCCCCACAGGGTTAGTGAGCAAGCACCACACGAAGAGGGCAATATAGAGCGTGAAGGAACCCCTACCTTCATGGCCAGTGGTGCCCATGTATCTTTTGCTAAGACTCTCCTGGCGTTTCAGCCAGGCTTCAGAGCCACTAGTAAAGAAAATAACTTCTAGAAAAGGCCACTGAACAAAGGATGATGATAATTGTTAAATACACAGATTTTCCTCAGGTCCATCACCCTAGAATTCATGTAGAATGAACTTGAGTTGGAAAAGAGAGAGAACAGTTTGGATTTTGAGTTCACAATAAGAAATACATGGAGACGAACAGGAAGGAGGTGTCAGACAAGTTAAATTTACAGTTTCAGATCTTGAAGATATCGAACTTTTAAGTAATAATGGTGCCATTACTGTGGATGAATAAGGTGGGATGTGTATGTAAATACATTTTCAGCAAGCTGTGGAGCTGTGACTCCAAGTCATTTGGTATTTTAACTACAGGAAGTGGAACGTCTGACCATGATCACCGATATTTTATAATTTTAAATTTTTTAAAAGATTTTATTTATTTGAGAGAGAGCGCACAAGCATGGGGAGCGGCAGGCAGAGGGAGAGGGAGAAGCAGGCTCCCCACTGAGCAGGGAGCCCGATGTGGGACTGGATCCCAGGAACCTGGGATCATGACCTGAGCCGAAGGCAGACGCTTAATGACTGAGCCACCCAGGCGCCCATTGTAATTTTAATTTTTAACTTAAATAATTTCTCATGATTTTCTTCGTTCTTTCTTATACTTATTTAAATTCTTTTTTTTTTTAATTTTTCTTTTCTTTTTTTTTTTTTTTTTATTCATGAAAGTCAGAGAGAGAGAGAGGCAGAGGGAGAGAAACAGGCTCCCCGCCTAGCAGGGAGCCCGATGCGGGACTCGATCCCAGGACCCTGGGATCATGACCCCAGCCGAAGGCAGACGCTCAACCATCTGAGCCACCCAGGTGCCCCTATACTTATTTAAATTCTTTAGGACACTTCAAAAAGTCTTAAAGGGAACCAAATGTATTTAGTACATTTAAAACATTCAGTGGTGTCTATTTTATAGGGAGGATCAGAAATTTAGAGGTGACAATATTATTCAATATTTAGAAATAATTTATTTTCTTTTTAACCTATGAACACAATGTTTTTTTTTAATTTTTTTATTGTTATGTTAATCCCCATACATTACATCATTAGTTTTAGATGTAGTGTTCCATGATTCATTGTTTGTGCGTAACACCCAGTGCTCCATGCAGAATGTGCCCTCCTCAATACCCACCACCAGGCTAACTCATCCTCCCACCCCCCTCCCCTGAACACAATGTTTTAAACAATATATTGAAAAATATCTATTAAATATTTCAAGGTGGGTTTCACCGTCTGTTGATGAGTTAATCCTGTAATTAAAAAAAAAAGATGAAAAATCTTGATTTTAATGTCTCTGTCCATACACAAGCTTCCAATTAACTCGAGTTTTTTGGCGTGATATGGGCTGGTATGTATAGTAACACTGGGAGAAGAGTTGTTGGTATTAGTAGAGGTTCAATCTAATAGTAAGTTGTTATAAGTATTTTCTTTCTTAGGTAAGGGAGAAATTAGTACAAGTCCCAGATTTTCAGTAAGGCTCATGGCAATAACTTAGAAGTTTTGAAAGTCAACAGAAAAATGATCTAACACCTTTGAGGAGCTGACTGATTTGATGTCACATTCTTCTCATGCCCTGATTATCAAACGACTGTGATTTTTCCTCTCTACCTATTGTGTTTTTTTGAAGACAGTTGGCCTGCATTCCTCACCTGAATGTGCTGTCTATTCTTTACTCTAGTTCTTTGGCATCATGTTTAGTCATAACTCTGAGAAGGAGCTGGAAGCTGAACATTCATCATAGAAAGAAATGCATTTGGCTAAGGGAAATTCTGTTTTTGAGTGTAGTGTTTGCTTCAGGCATAAAGATCTTTTAGTGTTATTTCTGTAGTCTCCAAATAAATAGCCAAGCCATTAAATGGAAGAAAAAAAAATACATACTTCCAAATAGATCTTAAATCATAACAGGGGAATGCCATATCATGCCTAATGTTTAATAAACAGCCAATATGATTTTAGCCAATAAATATATTGAGATAAACCACTGACTTTCCATAATGTTTTAATGGGCATTTCATGATCTCAACTCAAATTTGTTCCTGATATGTCAATTACTATGGTTTATATTTTAATATCTTCTTGTTTCAAAAATTATTTTTAAAGAGAAATAACATAGGTGAACTGCTCTCAAAACATTTTTTAAGTACCATGCCTGAACTAAATAGGAACTGCTGATTTCTTTCCTACTTAAAGAAAAATACATTTTCCTTTTAAGCTTAAATAATAAAAAATTTTTTAAAAAGCTTTCTTAAGGCAATGCCAGCAAGAGCCATGTTTGGAATATCACTGCATCAAATCAATCTTTCTTTTCCTTCTCTTACTCTTCTGAATGATTTGGGAAGGAAGCGACTGGCCTGGGCTGGAAGGCTGTGGGGCATAGAGCAGATGTCACATTTCTCACATTTGTTTTTCAGATGGAAGCCCTCTGAGTTGGTGGGTTGGCAGAACCAATGAAACGCAAACGTACTGGGGAGGTTCTTCGCCCGACCCTCAAAAATGTACATGTGGATTAGAAGGGAACTGCATTGATTCTCAGTATTACTGCAACTGTGATGCTGACCGGAATGAATGGTGATTTCCATATGATTTCCTTATGCAAAATAAAGTTTATATTTAAAAATGACTCACTCAGAACATATAGTGTAGTGAGGCAGATACTGAACAAATTAGTACAATGAATAAATTAAATAAAGGTGTGTTTTGATTAAATCTGTTACAATCAATCTGAATCCTAAAAGTTAAGACCAATATTTTTTTTTAATTTTTTGATAGTGGGCCATAAATCATTACATTTTATTTTTGTAATAAGATGAAATAGAGGCATCTGTTTCTTGTTTCCTCTTCATTATAAGTCAGTTATCATTCTCTTTAAAATTAAGTGTAATTAAGAATTCTGTTACTCTCAAAATATATTTACAAGCATTAATTACTAAAGGACATTTCTTCAGTAATCTGCCTATAAAACCTTTAAACAAGTGAACTTAGAATTTCTTAAAATTATTTGAACATGTAGCTCTTTAATTTTTTTAAGGACAAACCATGCTGCAAAGAACTAATATTCTATTTATTATATCTTGAAAAAGGAAATCTAAAACATTTAGGGATTTTAAAACTGAGTCTGAAAGAGTCTTTTAAGTAGAAGTCTTACGTATATGTTTGCCTTTGAAAAATTAAAAAAGATATTATATTTGAGACTAGAGTTGAAATGTACATTGATTTTATTTACTCACGAAGAGAAATGTTTTTCAGGTTTTTTTTAAAGGTTTATTTATTTATTTGACAGAGAGAGATAGCGAGAATAGGAACACAAGCAGGGGGAGTGGGAGAAGGAGAAGCAGGCTTCCTGCGGAGCAGGGAGCCCGATGCGGGGCTCGATCCCAGGACCCTGGGATCATGACCTGAGCTGAAGGCAGACACTTAATGACTGAGCCACCCAGGCACCCCTGTTTTTCAGTTTTTATATTCACATTTCAACATACCATATGCATATCCTACATCCTACATAAGCAACTCTGTACATAAGAGTTATTTTTAAAAATACTAATAGTCTGGCACAAAAATCATTGATTTGGTTACAGAATGTACATTAATTTCAGTAACTTGTTAATTGAGCTCACATTTTGAGCTGTGTGATACTCTGTGTATTTATTTGGCAAACATCAAGGCTGTATTATATTAAAAAACAGATTCTTTTAGGATACCCTAAAAGGAGGTATCCATATGGAGTCATGATTAGACTTCTAGTGTTAACATGTTTGGTATGAAGAATATTGTCTTGCTTGCTTGAGCTCCAATTTTTCAGAATATCTACTTCCTTTAGAAGGCACTCTTTCTCTCACTGCCTTCACACACACACACACACACACACACACACACAAAATGCCTACACAATAATAGTGTATTTTAAAATGCAAATAAAATGCTAATAGCAATGCTTAACTGGAAAAAAATTCACCTAATCACCAAGAATTCTCCAATGCCTCTATAACATATTATTCATCAAAAATAATTTTTAAAAAGAAAATTTTGAAACTTCTCTTTTAAATTCTGCTCATTGTGAAGTAGCTTGTATAGAGCTAACCTTCCTCAGATACATTTATAATTCCAGGAAATATATTTATAAAAACACCTACTTGAAGAAAGTGGGGAACAACCAAATGTTGGGGGGGGGACCTGGACCCTTGAAGAAGGGAATCCAAGTGGATGAGAAGATGTTTACATGCCTTTTCCCATGAGGGCGCTAACCAGACCACATGCCATGAAGTGGTTAGGGCTCTAAGGGAATACTAGATCTTTTTGGCTTGAGGTAGCCGAGGACAAAATTTGGGGCTGCCAAAATGACTAAAAATTGAGGAGGGAGTAGAAATCCCAGAAAGAAGAAAGTACCTGGGCGGAGTTCAATCTATCACCCCTACTCAGATCCCTGGCTGCCCTGCACTGCACATGCGCAGGGGAGGTTTCTAGGAACCACGCAGACAGCTAGAGCTGGGAAACTGACCAAGCTCTAGAGACATTTCAGCGGCTACCACCAGAGGAGAGACAGAATTTGGAGTTTAAGTCTCACTAATTGAGATGGGCTTGTAAACCCCTTTGCTTTCCTCAGAAATGACAGAGGGTTCGTGTCTTCACAGCAAAGACTGTGTCCCAAAACTGAATACGATTGAAAACTAAAAAGAAAACTGATGCCAGCCCACCTAAGATGGTATAAAACCAAACCTCCACAATTTATTATGATAAGACTGTGATTTAGCTGTGGAAAAAAAAAAAAAAAGGAAGTCTTCAGAGAATGATAACAGAATCCAGAGTCTCTATAGTGTATCACTCATAATATTCAGAACATTGTAACAGTTGTTATATATTCCCAAAAAGAGTAAATTTGATCCAAAGTTAAGAAAAATAATAGTAGTTATTAGAAATAGACTCTGGGACACTGATGTTTGATTAGTAGGCAAAAACTTTAAAGCAGCTATTATAAACATGCCTGAAGACTTAAAGGTAAAAATAACCGCAAGTGAAGAGAGGGCATACTGAGCAGATAAATGAGAACTGTATTCAAGAAGCAAATACATTTTGGAATAGGAAAGCACAACATCTGAAGTGAAAACTTTCCTGGAAGGACTTGAAAATAAGATCTAGCAGAAGAAGTCTTCAATGAACCTGAAGACAACTTAATCAAAATCATTAATCTGAGGAACATGGCAGGTGGGGTGAGGGGGAAGGTTGGAAGAAACATTAACAGAACCTTTGTGGATTGTGAGAAAATATCAGTGATTTAACAGGCAAGAAATCAGAGTCCCTGAAGGATAAGAAATAAAACAAGGCAAAAACTATTTGAAAAAACAATGGCTGGAAATTTCTCAAATTTGTTTAATAAACGTCTGTGGTAGCAAGTCCCCAAGATGGCCCTCCATGAGCCACACTGCCAGTTATTCACACCCTTGTGTAATTTCCTCCCTGTGAGTGTCGCCTGGACCTTGTGACTTGCATCAAATAAATAGAATATGATAAGAGGGCGAGAGTCACTTCTGAGATTAGGTTCCAACAGACTGTGACTTCTGATTTCTTTGCACCTCTTTCCCTGACTCTTGTTTTGACAAAGCAGTCTGCCATGTTGTGAGCTGTCCTGGGGAGAGGCCCGGGTGGCAAGGAATTGAGGCTGATCATCAACCAACAGCCAGTCAATAGCCAAGGCCCTCAGTCCATCCAGTGGCAAGGAACAGACTACTGCCAACAACCAGCCACTGGAGCGAGCTTGGAAGCAGATCCTCCCCGTGCCAAACACTGAGGTGACGGCATTTGTTGCCAGCAGTTCAGTTGTAGCCTCGGAGGGGCTCTGAGCCAGAGTATCCTGTTAAGCTCTGCCCAGATTCTTGACACAGAGAAACTAGGGATCATAAATGTTGTTTCAAGTCACCAAGTTGTAGGATACTTTGTTATGCCATAGCCCATATATAACATAACATCAATGTACAGATTCCAGAAACTCAGAGGGTCTGAAGCAGAATGAAACAGAGAAAACCACACTTTGGCTTATTGTTCAGTTTGATAAAAAATAAAAAATAAAAAACCCAAAAGAACAATGATCAAGATAAATATTTTAAAAGCAGCCAGGTTGGATAGATCTGGTGGAATATATTCCATGCAGGGGAACAAAGGTACAAATGCAGGCTGACTTCTCATCGGAAACATGGGTCAGAAGACAATGGGATGATACCTTTGATGTGCTGAAAGAGAAAGCAATGTCAACCTGGAATTCTATACGAAACAAATAGATATTTCAAAAATGAAGATAAAATAAAGTCCTTTTCAGATTAAACAAATGCTGAATTTGTTACCCACAGAACTGCACTATATGAAATACTAAGAGAAATTCTGTAGGCTAAAGAGAAATAATGCCAGATGAAAACTCAGATCTTCAGGAAGGAAGGAATGAAGAACACTGGAAATCATGAATATGTCAGTAAATAGAAAAGCCGGGGTTTAAATTCAAAAAGAAAATTTACCATTTAACTGTATTATAACATCTATGACATCTAGATTTAAAATATATGACAGCAGTAGCCCAAGGAACAGGTGTGTATTGAGGGGGAATGTGGGCAGGGGGTAAGGATATTATTCTGTAGTCAGCTTCTAATATTTTATATTGAGTAATATAACACAAAATCTAACTAAAGTGGATGAATTAAAGATGCATTATGTAAGGATCCATAAAGCAAACATTAAAATACTGTAAACAGACATATAGCTAAACAGTGAATAAAAATAAAATTGAATACAAAGAAATATGGAGTAAACCAAGAAAAGTAGGAGAGAGGAAGCAGAAATACAAGAAATCCTATGGGAAAAAATAGAAACAAATACCAATTTAGTAGATCTAAAACTGCAGTATCAGTCATTACACTAAGTGTAATTAATCATTTATTTATGTATTTATTTATTTTCTATTTCTTTTTGTTACTGAATTGTAATTGGCATACTATATTGTATTACCTGCAGGTTTACAACACAGTGATTTAATGCCTTCATACATTACAAAATGATCACCTTGCTGTAAACAGTCTACTTAAAGAAAATGGTCAACTGAATTTCAAAATCACCAACTATAGTCAGTCTGCAGGAGACATTAAACTGTGGCCATATTTTCACTCAAATGGGCAATTTGATCCTTGTTCTTTTGCATGTGCAGACTTATCTCAGAATATCTTGGCTTTGAAATGCAATAAGGGCTATTGCTTATTTTATAATTATGTTAATCAGAATAATTTTAAGAATTTTGTTGTTGTTACTGTTTTTTAGGACCAATGACACCGGATTCCTTTCTTATAAGGAACATCTGCCGGTGAGGAAGATAGTGGTTACAGACACGGGCCGACCGCACTCAGAAGCAGCTTATAAACTGGGACCTCTGCTCTGCAGGGGAGACAGTAAGTGCTGGCAGTGGGCTGTAAACATGGCTGAGCACAAGTCATGTTTCTATCATAGAATAATTAATCACACGTCTGTTGTGAAAATGCATGAGCAGTGCCTGAGGTAATTCTTCCAGTCAGTCAACAAACAAGGTACCCTTATAAAGTGCAAAGCCCTGTAATAAATGCTTGGTGGCAAGCTTTGTTCAGATTCTAAGAGAAAGAACCCACTAAGCATCTCAATTTGATTGGTTTGTAAACATATCCCAGCATTCCTAAATGTCTGCATGCCATTGTCCATCTAGGAAAGCCTCAGTGCTGCGTAAAATTGTGAAGAATGTGAGTTTTCTACTGTTGGGCCTGTGGTGAAATTAGAGCATCAGTAGAATCAAATGCCAGTTTTATCAAACATATTTCAACTTTTAAATCTCTTTTTTTTTCCAGTTTGTGTGTCTTTGTGTTTACGTTAAATCAATGGGACATACTATTTTGTATATTCAATGTATTAACACTCTAAACCAGAATTTTAAAATTCAAATATAGTTTCACAGAAAATATTTATTTTCAGCAGGGAATGAAATGAGTATACATATCCATACATATGGAGACTGATGTATTAATTATTTATGCTTTTAGTTATTTCCAGGACTTAAAATGGGAATGGGAGAAACATTTATTTATGTTAAAAAGATACCCTACAATAAAATTTTATTCCAGGAGCTCAACATAGGAGATGATCTAACAATGCAGTGGATTGATGGGGATACATAGCAGAAGTTGCTTAGTTAAAAAGCAAAGCTGATACTGGCCTATAAACATTTATATACACTTGTAAAAAACTGTCTGCCATTATACCTACTATCCCTAATCTTTGGCATCTCTACTTGCTGTTCTGCCAGTAGGCCTCTCACAATCACATGAAGATGACATAGGATATTGCGTGGAGAGAAAAATTATGTGCAGAGAGATGAGGTTGTAAGCTCAGGATGCATTCAGGGGAGTACAATGATTTTGTGACTATAGAAAATTGTTCTATACGTCACACACAGTTTTCAGTGCTGGCTCTGATCTTAACCCTTCAGGGGCCCAGGCTGGCTTCCTCCCTCCCCCTTATTCCATTTGCTATCATCCCTGGGGAAGTGTCTGCTTTGACCGAGGTCACTACACCAGTCCTTAGGGCTTCTTTCTTACAAATTTCCTGCCATGAACTTGAACACATAGCACCTTTTCATTCAACGGAAGTGATTCTCCATGGTAGGTAGTTTTTCCCCCTCGGTGGACATTTGGCAATGTCTGGAGATGTTTTTGGGCTGTCACAGTTGTTGGGGGGTTGAATGCTACCGGCATCTAGAGGGAGAGGTGAGGAATGCTGGTAAATATACTATGATGTGCAAGACAGCCCTCCGCAGCAATGAATGATCTGGTCCAAAATGTCAGTAGTGCTGAGGTTGAGAAACCAGAAAATTAAACTTTTGTGGCCACGGGGATGCAGAGGTATATGGATTTACAAACAGTTTAAGTATTTAGAGACCTGCTAAGTAATTTCTAAGTTATTAATGAAACAGTAATTGAGAGTTTCCTTGGCCTTGTCTTGTACATCTATTTTAGGCTTAAGGCTCATCCCCACATAAAGTCGTAGGACTGTTCTCTGCATGGAGGGCTCTTTCTTATTCTATCAGTCAGAAGAGCGATGGCTACAGAACAATGAATGCCCCCTTTTCTGTATATGGGAAATCTGCGGTGCCTTGGGCACATTGTTTTTTCTTTCCAACTGAGATAGACTGGGTGGCTAAGGGGCTTCTAGATATGGAATCATGCACAGTGGGCCTTATAAGCAGAAGAAAGGTATGTGGACACTATCCTGAGGGCACTAGGACCTGAACATTGGATAATTTAAGGCTGAGAAATAGCTTGATCTTCATGATCCAACTGAAAGCATGAAGACCAGGTATAAATCTAAAGACCAGCAAAGTGACCTTTGATGTAAGACAGGAAAAATGATAAGGGCTTCAACCACACAGTGGCATGCGGCTTAAGGAGGGTCTCACATACAGAGGGAAATTCAATATGATCTAGAGGAGGGTTGAGGTTGAAGGGGTGTGAAGACGATCTCTGGCTTTCTGATCTAAATAAAGTCGCTGAGGATCATTCATTGAAACAGTAGGATGCTAGTCCTCTTCACTGAGACAAAAGAGCTTTGAGATGTTCTTTGACAGAAAAATGGAAAAATGAGAATGAAAAAAAATTGACATTTAGGTTTTCTCCCACAAGCTAGAGATGTTGAAAATTTTATATCTAGCCATGTTTTGGTAGGAAAGAAGACAGAAGCCTTGAAAAAGCAGGACAAATCAAACAAAAATGAGTGTGAGTCCTTACTGGTCCCAAATAGAGCTTATCCCTAATTAATTGGTACTGTCTTTTTCTACGTCCTTCTTTCATCCTTTTTTTTTAAAGTGCAGGTGATTCTGAAATCCCGTGGGACTGCTGCTATTACTGTGTGGTGTCAGAAGTCGTAGATTACATTGTTAGGGGTTTGACGTAAAGCACAGCCTGAATGATAAAGCCCCATTACTGTTGTGCTGGCAGACACAAAACTTCGTAAATGCCGGTGTCCTTAAGGAATTTATTTATCTATGAACATGGAAATCCATTTCTTGAAAATATATGTGAAAAGTAAATGGCCGAATTCAACATCCTATTTATGATAAAAGCCAAAGTAGGAACTAAAGAGAACATCCTCAATCTTTTAAAAGGCATCCATGAAAATCTGACCGCTAATACCATACTGAGTAGTCAGACTTGAAATGCTTTCCCTCGGGCGCCTGGGTGGCTCAGATGGTTAAGCGTCTGCCTTCGGCTCAGGTCATGATCCCAGGGTCCTGGGATCGAGTCCCGCATCGGGCTCTCTGCTCCTTGGGAGCCTGCTTCTCCCTCTGCCTCTCTCTCTCTGTGTCTCTCATGAATAAATAAATAAAAATCTTTAAAAAGAAAAAAAAAGAAATGCTTTCCCTCTCAGAGGAGGATCAAGGCAAGGATGTCTGCTCTCACCTCTTCTATTCAACATCATACTGCTAGTCCTAGCACATGCAATAAGAAAAGGCATTCAAGGCATGTAGATCAGAAAGATATAAAATGTTCTATTTATAAATGATCTGGATTTCTGGGTAGGAATTCTGTAAGAATTTCTTTTTCTTTTTAAAATGAGTTTAGCAAGATCACAGGATGCAAGGTCAATATTCAAAAATAAATTATATTTCTGTATTTTCCTAATAAGAACTCTAAATTGAAATTTAAAAGCACTTTTTACAGTAGCACCAAACATATTAAATACTTTGGCATAAATATAACAAAATTACATAACATTGATGAGAAATCATTAAAGAAGAACTAAGTAAAAATAGGATAGTTGTAGATTGAGTCAATATTGTTAAGATGTCAATTTTTCTAAAATTGATACACATATTCAGTATAATCCCAATCAAAACCCAGTAGGTGTTTTTCTTTTTCCTTTTTTTCTTGTAGAAATTGGCAAGCTTATTCTAAAATGTGTACAGAAAAGCAAAGAATAGTCATGTGAGTAGATAAATAATTAAGGTAACTAAAACATTTTGAAAAATAAAAATAAAGTTTGAGACTTATACTCCCTGATTTTAAGACATATTACAAAACTACAGAATTCAAGACGATGTGATACTGACATCAAGATAGAGAAGTAGATTGAAAGAACAGAATAGAGAGCCCAGAATATATATATGTTCAGTTGGTTTTGAAAAAGCTGCCAGAGCAACTCAATGGAGAAAGAATAGTCCATTTCAAGAAATAGTCCTAGAATAATTTGAAACAAAACAAAACCAAAAAACCAAAAATCTCAACCCATACTTCAAACTGCATACAAAAATAACTCAAAATTAACCATGCACTTAAATATAAACCCACAAACTATAACATTCTTTAGGAAAGTATAGGAAAAAAATCATAGTGATCGTGGTTAGGCATAGACTTTTTAGATATAGCCGACCAAAAGCATGATCCATAAAAATGTTAAAACGATAAATTGAGTATCACCAAATTTAAAAACTGCTTTTAAAATGACATTGTTAAGAAAATGAAAAGAAAAGCCAAACACTGGGAAAAAAAAATTTACAAAATAAATATCTGAGGGGTGCCTGGGTGGCTCAGTCATTTAAGTGTCTGACTCTTGATTTCAGCTCAAATCATGATTTCAGTGTCCTGGAATCAAGGCCCATGTTGGGCTCTGCTCTCAGTGGGGAGCCTGCTTAAAATGCTTTCCCTCTGCCCCTCCCTCTACTCAGGTGTCTCTCTCTATCTAAAATAAATAAATCTTTAAAAAAATATATATGTATATACACATATATTTATCTGATAAAGCCTAATGTCTATGATATAGAAAGAATTCTCTCACAGATCAATATTAAAAAAAAATTCAAATTAAGAAGTGGGCAAAACATTTGCACATGCACTTCATCAGAGAAAATATACAGGTTTCAAAAAGCACATAAAAAATTCTCAGTCTCCTTAGTCATTAGGAAAATGTAAAATAATACCACAATGAGAATAACCATTAAAATGGCTAAAATTAAAAAACAAAAACCCCGACAATACCAAATGCTGGTGAAGATACGGAATAACTGGAACCCTCATAGCTGGTGCAAATGCAAAATGTTACAGCCACTTTGAAAAATAGTTTGGCAGATTATTTTACAGGTTAAACTCATATTTACCATATGATCCAGCAGTCCCATTCCTAGGTACACAAGAGAAATGAAAAACCTGTATGTAAAGTTTTATATTAGCTCTATTCATAGTCTCCTAAAACTGGATACCACCCAAATGTCCATCAACTAGTGGTTGACTAAACTTCCCATTTTACTGTGGTGTATCCATACTATACAGTGGAATACTACTGAACAATAAAAAGAAATGGAGTATTGATACATGCAACAACATGAATGAATCTCCAGTGCTTTATGTTAAGTGAAAGAAGCCTTATGTAAAAT